ATGGCTTAGATGGGATTCAGCTCTGGCTCAGCTGAGTTGTTGAGTCTGCTGTGTGTGCTCCTTACTGAAAGATGCTTTCTCTAAATTGGCTCCCAAACTTGAGTCCTTGAAATACAGAGTTTGGGGAAACAATTAACCAGTCCCAGAACTCTACACACACACTCCGACCCTTCCCCCTCACCCACCCCCACCCCCACCCCACCCTGGGCAGTCCTCACTGGAAAAGCATCCCACAGAAATGGCATAGATTAGTTTAACATTCCATTCACAGATGAGAATTCTCTGCAGGAAGGTCCTCTGGCCAGGTAGGTTCTGGAAGGCACATTGCTCTTCTGTAGATGGAACTCTCCATGTTGGCTGGGTCTCTGGGGGTGTACGTGGTCATCGTGGCATCCCTAAGCATGCATGTAAATGCTACTGCATGTGATGCAGTTGGGAGCTTTGGGATGTGTGGCCCTGCCAGTTAATTGCTTTGCGTTGTCTCCACTGTCCCTTCCTCCTCATTCCTATTGCTGCCCTTCCTACCTCAGTCGAGGACCTGTAAGGTCATGGTGAGTAACTGTAGCAGCTCTCTAGCCTGAGTTGGAGGAGAAGATTAGGAATTCCAAGTGACTTCAAAGAAGCTGCTCTCAACTTTCATTCAGCGAATATTTAGTAACGATCAAGTGCCAGGCCTTTGATGGGCCAGGAGAAAACAAAGATAGAAGAGGAACAGCCCTTGTCCTCCAGGTTCTCAGGACCAACTCACCCCACCCCCCACCCGCACCAACCCCCCTCACTAGCACACCCAGCAGGACACTTGCCACTTTCGTAAATGTACTTTATATTCTCACCTTCCTGCTCCAGGCCCTAATCCAATCCAAGGCCCCGTGTCACCTGACCTTTCCTCACTTTCCCCCACCTGGGATCTTTGGTCCCCACAAGCCTCTTGAGGCGTTCCTCTTCCAGTTAGTAGAACATATACTTTGAAGTCAGGCCCAGGTTCCTCTAGGCACCCTACAGAGCTTATGGGAATGTCCCCACCCAAAGATAAGTGGGTTGGCAAAATGATACCTGCATTGGCTTTGGAGCCTGGCTTCAACCTTTGCTACTTGCTAGCTTTGTGGGCTTGGGCACGTTTACATAACATCCTGACCCTCAGTTTCCTAAAGTAGGAAATTGGAATAATAACAGAACCCTCCTCAACAGATGGTTGTGAGGATTAACTCTGTTTGCTGTGAAGAACTTGGTGCCTGGCATATGCAACAGAAGTGCCCAATAAGGTCATCTCCGATTTAGCACTTAATTTTACACCGTACTTTTGGCCACTCATTCTGTTTCTCCAGTTAGATTACACACGCTGAGAGTAGGCACTGTATTGCATTTGGCAAATTCTGGACCGGCTTATTAGAAACTTTAAACAATTTTCAAATGAATATTTTGATGGTGCTTCTTAGGTTCCCAAGTACCTATCTACCAATTCACTAATAGGGCTGCCAAAAAACAGCCCAAATTCTCCCTAAGTTAAGTTTTTAGGACCCTTTCTTTGTTTTGAATCATTTTTAAAAAAATGTTTATTGATTTATTTATTTTGAGGGGGGTAGGGACAGAGAGAGAGGGAGAGAGAGAATCCCAAGCAGGCTCTGTGATGTCAGCATCCACAGGGCTGGAACTCACGAACTGTGAGATCATGACCTGAGCCTAAATCAAGAGTCAGACATGAGTGAGCCACCCAGGTGCCCCAGGACATTTTCTTTGAAATGTCACTGGAATTTTTATTCTCTGTCCCCCATCGGAGGAGTGGTGCCTCTTAGCCCTGGTGGCTATCACAATTGCCTGGGGAGTTTTAACAATGTTGATGTCTTAGTCCCTCCTATGATCAATTACATCAACATGGAAGGCAGTGAGGAGACCTGCCATCTTTTAATTTTTCTCATAAGCTCTCTAGGTGATCCTAATATGCAACCAAAGTAAAGCACCTTTGAGGTAGAGCATTGGAAGATTGTGATCATGGAATGTTAGCACCAGAACAGATTCTTAGGAAACATCTCATCTACTGCTGACTTTGCAGATGAGAAGCTGACACCCAGAGCCAGGAAGTGATTATACTTCACCATCCCAGCGGCTCAGAGTCCATACTTGAGCCCAGATCTTCTAGCATTGTCTTCGTTCAGTGTTCTCCCAAACCAGGGCTCAACAGAGGAATTTGCCAAACTGAGAAGGCTGAGGGGGCCGCCATAATGGCCCTGACAGAAGTGGAGGGAGTAGAGGAGACCCCAGGGTTCCAGGCCCTCCAGCCATTACTTAATACAGAGCAGTTTAGCTGTTTACTTACCTGTGACTGGGGAAATGTATTCTGCAGCTTAAAAGAAGAGGTACAAAATTAGAGACCCCTCCCATCATTTTACATATGGGGAACCCGAGTCCCAGAGAAGATTGCAAAGCTGTACAAGCTGTCAAGTGGCAGAGCTGACAACAGTCAGGCTGATTAGACTCCCTGATCTACAAGCAAGTAAGGTGACTCCTTCAAAGGCACAAAACCAGTTGGTAGCTGAACAGAGAACTGGAATGCGGTCTCTAGGACTCCTACTAAATTTCCTAAAATCTAAGATATTACCATCTGTAAGATCCTGATATCAGAAATATAAAAATGTGAATAGAAATGTATTTTAAATCAAGGAAATATGGTGTTTGCCTGAAATCTGAGCTCCTTCAGGGACTGAGCTCATGCTGAGAAAGCATGTCCTGGGTGGATCTTGGATATAAATCTCCTTGAACTTGCCCAGAGAAAAAAGGAGGAGCATGGGAAAGTCTAGAGAATTTGGAACCTGATAGACTTGGGGTCAAGTCCAACAATCATGATTTTGAGTAAACCCTTTGCTTCTCTAATCTTGGGCAAAGTGAGGTTCTAATACCTCCTTCACAGAGTCGTAGTGAGGCCAAAGTACCGAACGCAGACCTGGCATGCGACTGGGGCCTGGAGGTGGTTGATGAAGCTATTGTTGGCACTCCTGCCATTGGTCTAACCCCACTCCTCCAAAGAGTGCAAGGCTGCAAGTGGGAGCAGTCCACTCTCCAGAACCTGAATTGTCCGGCCCGAGCTCTGGGGAGGAGGTAGATGCTGGGTGGGGAGAGGAACATGACTCAGCCCCAGGGATCTTGGGAGAACAGCAATTTCTGGGATGTGATCAAGGAGGGTGGGTACAGAAGTCTGCCATGGGGGTGAGTAGACTCTGCCTGGGGCGCAGACATTTCCCACCTGCCTGACCCAAGGGCTGATTTTCCAATATTGCACATGGTTAGGATGAAGTTATCATTAACTGTAAGGCCCTTGTAGGAATAACACGTTTTGCCTATGAGCAGAGAACACATTGCCTTCTGAGAACCAACTGCTACCATTTGTAATTTGTAAGAGCACTTACAGAATATTTCCTCATGACAGTGTCTTGTTCCATTTGATCTCCACAATGAGTTAGGAGACATCAGTTAGATATCAGTATTATTCCCCACTGTGGCTGCCTCACCCTACTCCCCAGAGAAAGAAATTAGAGCTCAGTGAGGTTGTATGTCTTTCCCAAGGTCATGGTGCAGAAGTGGAATGCTAATTCTGGCTCTACTCATCCATTAGCAAGCAACATGAATTGAACAGCTGCCATGGGCATGGCTCATGCTGAGGGATCCAGGGATCTGAGGATGTTCAGAGGAGCCAGACAACGTTCTCTACTCTCAAAAGATTTCAATCCAGGTGTGGAGATGGACTGTAAACAAAAAAGGGTAAGCGCAAAGAGAAATATATCGAGTGCTGTGTGAGCTCCACGGAGGTACACACAGCAGGACAGCAGTTAGGAGTGAGGGCTTTGACCTGTCCTGACTCCCACTGAATCACCTCCCGCTGTGTGATCTTGAGCAAGTTTCTTAAACTCTCTGTGCTTCAGCTTCCTCTTTTAGAACATAGGACTGATGATGGTACTAGTTGATGGAGCTGCTATAACTCTGCTATAAGAAAATGCATGCCAACCTGCTAGTATCTGGTACACAGCACTCAACAAACACAAACTATTAATTTTTCTGGGCAACGAAGAAAAAGGTGGTCAGGGAAGGCTGCACAAAGGAGGTAGCATTTGGATTAAGTTTTATTTCGTTTTTAAAGTTTATTTATTTATTTTCAGAGAGAGAGAGAGAGAGAGTGCACCGGGGAGAGGGGCAGAGAGGGAGAGAGAGTCCCAAGCAGGCTCCATGTTCAGTGCACAGAGCCTGACACAGGGCTCGATCCCGTGATCCCAGGATCATGACCTGAGCCAAAATCGAGAGTCAGATGCTGAACCAACTGAGCCACCCAGGTGCCCCTGGATTAAGTTTTAAGGATAACTTTCCCCAAGTGGGAGGAAGTCATTCCAAGCAAAGAAAATGCTTTACTCACAGGCACAAAGGGATAAAGCAGGGGCTGGGAGAGATAGCTGGCTCACTGGGAGCCGGGAGCCTGCATGTGGGGGCAATGAAAGGAACAGACTCTAAGGCTAGGGGTGGATGGTGAAGAGCCTTGAATAACAAGTACTCAGGGGGCTCTGCCTCTGCCCTTAGCTTTCCTGCTTGCTGCACTTCAACAGGCTGTCTATTTGAGAGACCACAGGAGAGGGCGGGTCTTTGGGTAGACATGCTTTGATGGGGAAAGTGAGGAGGAAAAAGGCCACTGGGTAGGACAAGCCTGTGGGGAGGGCCCTGACCCTCAGAGGCTGTGGGTGGACACAGTCTCCAGTAATGGGGGTACAGCTTCCAAAGAGGGGTAGATGGGTGCCTGGCTGGCTCAGTCAGTTAAGCGTCCAACTTCGGCTCAGGTCATGATCGGGCGCTTGGTGGGTTCAAGCTCCAAGTCAGCCTTTGAGCTGACGGCTCAGAGCCTGGAACCTGCTTCAGAATCTCTGTCTCCCTCTCTCTCTCTCTCTCTCTGCCCCTCCCCTGTTTGTGCACTCTCTCTCTCTCTCTCAAAAATGAATAAACATTAATAAAAAAACAAAAGCGGGATGGGGGAGGTGGACAAGGTGACCTGTATCACCTACCTCTCAGTTCTGATGAAGGCAGTGTGCCCATCCTGCCAAGGTCAGTGTGTCCAGCTACAACAGGGCATCCAGAACCCCTGGAAGAGAGCAAGTCTTAGCCCATTACGCCAGATGTGCAGGGGTCCTCCTAAAGGGGTACCAGAAAGGAGCCATCCGAATCTCAGACTCGCCGGGGCGGGCTGACCTTGCACAGTGGAGCAGTGGCTGCAGACAGGAACTAGCTGCTGGGCGCAGCAGGGCAGTGATGGGAATGGGGCAATGGATCAGTGTCTGCCTGGAGAGCTGAGAGGGAAGGCAGGTTCTGACTGAACCATACAGACATTTGTGTCACTTTTTCTTTTTCTTTTTTTTTTAGGTTTACTTTTATCCCAATTTCACAGGCACATGGCTTTACAGAGTCAATTTCTAAAACAAATCTCTAAATAAAATGTATATAACGTTACTGATTATTTTCAGTTTTCATACATTGTTCAGTGGCATTCCACGATGAAAGCTTAGAATTTACCTGTTTTCCTTCTCATTTTCACCAAACACACACATTTCCCATCCCCCTCATCTTTTCAATATAATTCTTTTTTATTATTATTATTTTCCATTTTTCATTTGTATTTGAGACAGAGAGAGAGAGAGAGAGAGAGAGAAAATGTGTGAGTGAGGGAGGGGCAGAGAGAGACAGAGACAGAATCCAAAGCAGGCTCCAGGCTCCAAGCTGTCAGCACAGAGCTTTCACGGGGCTAAACCCACAAACTGTGAGATCATGACCTGAGCCGAAGTTGGCCGCTTAACCAACTGAGTCACTCAGGCGCCCCAGTTCTTTTTTTTTTTTTAATGTTTATTTATTTATTTTGAGAGCGAGAGAGCACGTGCGCACACATGTGCATGAGCTGGGGAGGGGCAGAGAGAGAAGGAGAGAGAAAATCCCAAGCAGGCTCTACTCTGTCAGCACAGAGCCTGATGCAGGGCTTGATCTCACCAATTGTGAGATCATGACCTGAGCTAAAATCAAGAGTGGAATGCTTAACCAACTGAGCCACCCAGGTGCCCCTCAATATAGTTCTATTGCAATTTCACTTAAACCAATATCAGTGCTTATGTTATTGTAACTACGTAAATGTATTCAGACATGAGTCATGTAATAAACTTTGAGTCATTTTCATTCATGCAGAACTTGGTTTTACCTTGCTAATTATGATCTCTTTTTAAATATATGTCTTTATTACTAATTCAATCCCGAACTTGTCGACCTTTCCACTGATTTTTCTGTTTTGTTTAATTGCTCATATTTTCACTGTGTTTCTGCAATATATTTTCATTGCCAATATACAACATTTCAGCTATTTAATGAGTTAAACAGATTTTGATTGGCTAGTCTGAGAACACAGCCTTCATTTGTGGCGTCGATTCTTTAAGGAAATGTGTTCTGATTTCCAGGCAATTGTTTTATAAAGGTACTGTGGGCATGACCACCTGTGTAATGCCAGTTTCTGCCCTCAGGGAGCTTCCAGTGTCATCTGGGACACAAGACTGAGACAAACTGATTTACACAATTAATTTACATAATTAAACTTCATTTGCATAATGAAATCCCTGTCCGAGGCAGAAATAATCCAGTGCCTATTGAGTGATACAGACGAATGGGTAAGAAAGATCTGGATGATCTATCTTGAAGGAACTGGCACTTGAGTTTTTAAGAAACTGTATATATGTTTTTTTAGTTTTTTTAAATGTTTGTTTATTTATGAGAGACAGAGTTATATTTTGAGAGACAGAGTGTGAGCGGGGGAGGGGCAGAGAGAGAGGGAGACAGAATCCAAAGCAGGCTCCAGGCTCTGAGCTGTCAGCACAAAGCCCGATGCGGGGCTCGAACCCACGAACCTCGAGATCATGACCTGAGCCGAAGTCGGACATTCAACCAACTGAGCCACCCAGGCGCCCCAGGAACTGTATATATTTTTTCCATCGTGATGAAATATACACAACAAAATTTACCACGTAGCCATTTTTCAGTGGCCACCACAGTGGCACTAAGTACATTCGCACTGTTGTGCAACCATCACCACTGTTTATCTCCAGAACTTCTTCCTCATCATCCCAAACTGAAGATTATATTTTTCTCTTCTAAGTTACATTTAATATTTCTGGTTGCAAAAATAAAATGTGTTCAGTGCCGACAACTTGTTTAAAACATAGAAAAGCACCAAGACGAAAATAAAAATATCCTATAATTCTATAAATCGGTTAGCGATTTTGTGGTGAGGGGTGGAAAGGCATCTCAGGTGGAGGGGCGAGACATCCCATGGGCTCAGAGGGTTTAAGCAGAGATGTAGTAGGGGAGATAGTTTTGAATATGAAGGGTGAAGATATTGTAAACATATTTAACTTTTGCATCTTCCTTTAAAGGGGCTGAATGGGGGAGGGAGGCAGTGAGTGGTTCTAACAGTGAACCCAAGCCAGTAAGATCCCCGCAGCTGTTCTGGTTATCCAGGACTATATAACAAGCCACCCCAAACTTAGTGGCATAAAACAATGACCATTTGTTATTATTACTATCTCTCACGGTGCTGGGGATTGACTGGTCTCAGGGTCTCCTGTGTGGTCGTAGTCAGATAGGGGCTGGGGCTGGACACGGGGAAGGTTTCCTCACTTACCCGTTTGGCTCCTTGGGTGCAAGAGCTGAGGCTACCGTAGCGTCTCTTTGTCCGTGTTGTCTTCCCACGTGGTCTCTCCAACATGGCAGCCTCAAGTGGCCAGACTTCTGACAGGGTAGCTCAGGGCTCTCTGACGCATGTGCCTGAGAATAAAGCCGGGTGGGACTTGAGTCTTCTTTTATGACTAACCTCAGAAGCCAAGCAGTATCACCTCCATCACATCCTATCCTTTAGAGCTGAGGGCCTAAGGCCGGCCTGTATTCAAAGGGAGGGCAAGTAGACAGTACTCCTCGAAGGGAGGAGTGCCAGAGAACTTCTACATATTTTTTTTTAATTTTTTAAAACGTTTATTTATTTTTGAGACAGAGAGAGACAGAGCATGAACGGGGGAGGGTCAGAGAGAGGGAGACACAGAATGCGAAACAGGATCCAGGCTCTGAGCGGTCAGCGCAGAGCCCGACGTGGGACTCGAACTCACGAACCATGAGATCATGACCTAAACTGACTGAGTCACTCACGCACCCCGACGAGTAACTTTATCATTCACTTTAAAAACATTAATTGGGATCTTACTATATGCTGTGCACTGTGCTAGATGCCAGGAAAAAGTGAGCAAGATACGTGTGGTTACTGCCGCAAGGAGTTTACTGTCTTGCAGGTCAGCCAGACAGTTCAATAAAGAATGTTATAATAAGGTGGGTTAGGTGCTCTGCTGGAAGTGCCAGCTCACAAAATAGTTTCTGATAGTTCTGATAGTTCTGATCTCTCTGCTCAGATGAAAATGGCATTGCTGGTGATTTGATATTTTCACCTGGATGCCATGTAGGCACCTCCCCCTCAGCATGTTAATTTGAGAGTCCCACGCCACTGCCCGGCTCTTCCCTGTGTCGTCTTTGATAGCATCCCACCCACCTGGTCAAACCAATAGAAACCGCAGACCTCGGTGGAGCCTATGCCAGGTCTCTCAGCCTCTACGTTGGCTGGTCTCCAAGTTGTTACTTCCGTCTTAGAATTTCTCACAGAAGTTATTTTAAGAAAATAATAAATTATAGGGACAACTGGGTGGCTCAGTCGGTTGAGCTTCTGACTCTTGATTTAGGCCCAGGTCATGGCCTTGTGGTTCTGTGGGCTTGAGCCCTACGTCAGGCTCTGTGCTGATGGTACAGAGCCTTCTTGGGATTCTCCTCTCTCTCTCTCTGCCCCTCCCCTGCTCTCTCTCTCTCTCACAAAATAAATAAACTTAAAAATATGTAACAGTATATGGTGAATTGAAGGCACTTTTAACACATTTAATTGATGATTTTTTATTTTTTTTTAATTTTTTTTTTCAACGTTTATTTATTTTTGGGACAGAGAGAGACAGAGCATGAACGGGGGAGGGGCAGAGAGAGAGGGAGACACAGAATCGGAAACAGGCTCCAGGCTCTGAGCCATCAGCCCAGAGCCTGACGCGGGGCTCGAACTCCCGGACCGCGAGATCGTGACCTGGCTGAAGTCGGACGCTTAACCGACTGCGCCACCCAGGCGCCCCTAATTGATGATTTTTTAAAAAAGATTTTATTTTGGGAGGGTGCGCCTGCGTGGCTCAGTTGGTTAAGCACCCGACTTAGGCTCAGGTCATGATCTCATGGTTCATGGGTTCGAGCCCCACATCAGGCTCTGTGCTGACAGCTCAGAGCCTGGAGCCTGCTTCCAATTCTGTAGTCTCTCTCTTTGCCCCTCCCCTGCTCACACTCTGTCTGTCTGACCCTCTCTCTCATAAAGATAAATAAACATTAAAAAATTTTTTAAAGATTTTATTTTTTAAGTAATCTCCACATCCCATGTGGGGCTGAATCTCACAATCCTGAGATCAAGAGTCACATGCTCTACCCACTAAGCCAGCCAGGTGCCCCTAAATTGATGATTTTTTTTTTTTTGAGAGAGAGAGCGCAAGAGGAAGAGTTGGGGAGGGGCAGAGGAAAAGGGAGAGCTATGAGGTAACTCTATACTCTCTGTACCCCTTCACAGCCTGTATATGACACAGTATTAGAGTTACCTGCCTACTTGTCTGTCTCCCTCACTAGACCAAGCACCATGCAGGCAAGAACCATCTTGTTCACCATTATGCCCCTAGTGCCCAGAGCAGGGTCTGACCCATCGGGGTCATCCGTGGATATCTGTGCCGCTAATGATTGGATCTGCCATTTCCTGTGCTCTTATACCACTGGGCCTCTTCCCCCACCATCAGTTCTATCCTCCTTAAATTGTCAAGACCCGGGTCAAACATTTATAACAATCAATAGTTCCGTGAAGCCTCCTTCCTCACCCCCACCCCCTTAGACACACACCACTGTCCTTCCTTCTCTTGTTCCCGTTCTCCCTGCCACCCCATGCCACTTAGGACACTACCCTCCCTGTGGGCAGTGACTTGTATCTTTTTTATCTTGACCCCTGGTACCTACACACAGTGCCAGAGATACTGGTCCAGCTGCTTAGAATTCAGCAGGGAATCTAGCAGACAAAAATCCCTGTCCTCATGAAGCCCTCATTCTGTTGAGTAGACAGACTATAAATAAAATAAGTAAAATGTAGAGCATGTTAGAAAGAAGGGGGATAGGGAGAGGGAGCACGTTGTGAGGAAGGAGGGATCGGGAGGCAGAGCTCCACACTGAACTAGGTGGGCAAAGGTCTAGAGGCTGGAGGGAGGGAACTGGCCACCACAGCCCTTCTCATCACAGGAAGGACTTTGGCTTTTGCTCTGAGATGGAAGGTACTGGTGGGTTTTGAGCAGAGAAGTGACATGATCTTGTGCACACTTTAACAGGATGCCTCTTGCTGTATTGGGAAAAGACGGAAGAGGTACAAGGACAGAAAAAAGGAGACCTAAGGTGGGGTGACAATCCAGATGAGAGCTGATGGAGCTTGGATCCTGTGGTAGGGGAAGGATGGAGCTGCTAGGACCTCAGACAAGGAGACTGTGGGAGGCACAAGTTTGACAGGGAAGGCCAAGGCTCAGTTGTGCATGTTAAATTTAGATGCCTATTAGACATCCAATGGGAATATTGAGCAGGTGGCAGGATATGAGTCTGGAGTTCTAGGGAGAGGGTCCAGGCTGGAAGTATATATTCGGGCATCTTTAGCATAAAGATAGATGTCATTTAAGCTCTTTTCCTCCCTGGCTGCCTGAAGCTTGGCCACCATCATGATTGACATGATAACTATCCAGACCAGGAATTTCAGCAGAAACAAATGGTCATCGATATTCTTCACGCTGGAAAGGCAGCAGTACCGTACTAAGACAGAAATTTGGGGAAAACTACCCAGAATGTATAAGACCACACCAGATGGCATCTTTGTAATGATTTATGGTTCACTGGATGATGCAAAGAAAAAGGAACCCAAACATAGACTTGTAAGACATGGCCTGTAGGAGAAGATAAAGACCTCAAGAACACACAAAAGGAATGCAAGAACGGAACGAAGAAAGTCAGGGGGACTGCAGATCCATGTTGGTACTGGTGAAAAGTGAGCTGGAGATTGGACAACAGAAGGAGTAAAGATTCTGCAGTGACTTTCTCTGTGGTGATGGTGCAGATTTTTCATGAAAGAATAAACTAAGAACTTAAAAAAAAAAAAGATGTCATTTAAAGCCTTGATGACCAGATGAGATCACTAAAAAAGAAAGCAGGGGTGCTCACGTAAGTCAAATGCTGCCGATGGGCCTGACAAGAAATGAATACATGCCAGGGCCCGTTAGATCTGCAAAGTACAGGCCATAATTAAAGGTAACTTGCAACAAATGGGTAAGGCACCTAGCAGGTACAGAGATGAAATGGCTCTAAGTCATGGGAACACTGGACACCTAAGGAATGAAAAACCATGGCATCTTGGGGCGCCTTGGTGGCTCAGTCGGTTGGTTAAGGGTCTGACTCTTGATTTCAGCTGATTTCAGCTCAGGTCAGGATCGCACTATTCATAAGATCAAGCCCCGCATCGGGTTCTATGCTGACAGAGCAGAGCCTGCTTAGAACTCTCTCTCTCTCTGCCCCTCTCCCCACTCATGCTTGCTGCCCTCTCTCTCTTTCAAAATAAATAAATAAACTTAAAAAGAATCATGGCATCTTGGACTTGGAAGGGACCTTAAATAGATCATTTAGTCTGGACTCCTCCCCTACCCTAGCCCTGATCATTGAATCCCCGGCTTTGGAACAAGAAATATTTGTGGGATACTGAGGCAACCCGTGTGGCCAGGTCAGGGAAGGCACCATCGAAGAATGAGTAGAAAATGACGCTCCTGAGTCTGAAAGCTCCCTAGCCTCGTGTCCTTAGGCAAGTCACTTCACCTCCTCTATCTTCAGTTTCCCTGTTTGTAAAATGGGAGCAAAACCTTCTTGTCCCTCCCAGGGGTGTAGAGAGGTCTAAATGTGCGAGTGCTTGGGGTAGAGTATGCTCTTCCTAGCTTGATAATTGCAAGAGCAAGAGAAGGAGGCCAAGAGAAGTCTCACGCTTGGAATGGCCATGCGAATGAGGATGAGGAGGGAACTGTCCTGTCCTCAGTGCATCTCCTGGTGCAGCCTGTGGAGAAGCTAACAAGATTCAGGCCAGGATCTGGGCTGGAAATGGACTGGGCTCAGGTGGCAAGATGGGCCTGCGGGACGGACAGAGACCTTGACTCTGCCTCCACTGAGCCTGGAACCGAGTTGGAGGAGACCCTGAGGCAGCGGCAGGGAAAAGAAACGGAGACACCGAGGCAGAAAGAGACTCAGAGACAGGGAGACCAAGAGACAAACAGACCCAGAAACAAGCGGCCCAACTGGGGCCCAAGGCGATCCAGAGACCCCGGCAGAGCAGAGTCCCGCGCGGAGCAGGGTCACGGAGCGC